CAAGTGATGTCCCCAAAGACATTACCATCCGTATGTTCATCACAGTTGCTATGAACCAACTTCTCTGTTCAAACAGTTTGTGCCCTGGAACTGGAGAAACTTCACATGACAGGATCGCTTCAAGCTTGAATAATATGACTTTCCTGAATCCGAAGATCGACATTCTGAGTGCATATTATTGGTATGGAAATAGTATACAGAAGAAATATTCAAAAAATATCAATTTCCACCTTAAATAATGTGATACAATAACAGTTATAGGTGTTTTTAAGTTAAATTATAAAAGAAATCACTATAACAAATTAAGATTCTAGAGAAAAATTCAAAAAAGAAAATCACTTTTTAAGGATGAAATATTTTAGTAATCAAAAGTGTCGTATTTTGAATAATGAAATTGGACATTTAATGATGAATTACTATCTTTTTGGAACCAAAATTTTGGTCTCAAAAAGTAAACTCCTTGAGCACGAGACTGTTTTATTCCTAAAAGGGCGTTTATTAGCTAAATTTTAAAAATTGTCACCAAAGGTCATTTTTTTTTACTAGTCGAGATGGCCTTTCAGCAGCAACTCTTGTAACAATAGGATTTGGTCTCTTTAATGTTTTTTACAACAGAATTTTCAATTTTTGAGATAAAAAAAAAATAAATTGATCTTTAAAACTCTCATATGTTGTATAGATAGATTGAGAATTTACAGTGTAGAGTAGAAGATAATTATTTTGCTATGATCTTTATACAAATATAATCCTTAACATGAATGATTTAAATTAACAATTTTATATTGTTATGTCGAATCCATTATGTTAAAACTAAAAAACTTAATATTGAAAGCCATTACTAAAATATGATATCTAATTTTGAGTTATTTTCCTTTAGTGTCTAAATCTTTTCATTTTGAATCCATAAATCTAAATGCTACCTAAGTACTTTGTTTTTGAATTTTAAGTTCCCATTAGATAGATGGATTTCAAATGAAGGGATTTTATGTTAAATTTTAATATATATATATATATATATACACATATATATGCGCTAAGAAGCACAGACACGGACACGCATATGGACATGGACATAGGATGCGGCAATTTTCAAAAAAAGGGGGGACACGGCAATTTTTATTTTTTATTTTTTAAATATATTTTCATTTGTTATGTAGATTAACAAAACTAACATAATAATATTAATTCAATAAATATAACTATTATATTTAAATAAATTAATAGATTATCCATCCACAAAATTTATATATATATATATATATGTATATATAAACCAATAATTTAAAAAAATAGTTTTACAAAAGTATATATATAAACCTATTATAAATAAAAAAAGAGTAAGTTTTACAACGATATATATATACATATAAACCTATTATTATAAATAAATAAAAAACGAGAGTTTGAGAGAGAGAGAAGAGAGAGAGAAAGAGAGGATAGACTGTTCGAGAGAGAGAGAGAGAAAGTGCGAAGTGCGCGAGAGTGAGAGAGAGAGAGGGACTTACGATCAGGGTTCGAAGTTCTGGATGGACCTCGTCGACGACTGGATGTCGACGGTTAGAGTAGGCATCTTCAATCGATGGTTCGAGTCGGCATCTTCAATCGATGGTTCGCTCTCTCTCCTTCACGACGACAGGTTTGTTAACTCTCTTCACTCTCTCTCCTTTGTCTCTCTCTCTCTCTCCCCCTTTTGTCCCCAAAGATTTATGCCACACCGTGTCTATGCTATGTCCAGATCTAGACACGCGTGTCCTTGCCGTGTCCTCGTCGTGTCCCCTTCAAAAACAATAATTAAATTAAAGGGATACGCCACCTGGTGTGTCCCGTACGTATCCTCGGCGTGTTCCCGTGTCCCTAGCATGGCATCAAATCTAGCGTGTCCATGCTTCATAGTATATATGTATATATACATACATACATATATATATATATATAAGAAAGTTAGTTATTATAAATAGATTGAGAAACTAAAAAGTAATTCAGAGTATGCTATAGTAAGAATATAATTATTTTATTATTTTTTGTAAACAATTTGAAATAACTATTTTTATATTGTTATTTCAAATTCCTTTAACTTGTTTATTTCATTGTTTTTAACTTTTTGAAAATAAATACAAGAACTTGAGTGGGGTTTACACAAACGATTTTCCAGACCAACCACTTTCTTATTATAACTTCACTGGAGAAAATTTGCCGAAAAATACCAGTGTCAACACAAGGGACGAAGGTGAAGATGTTGAATTATAATGAAACAGTAGAGATAATATTCCAAGGGACTAATGGTCTCGACTCATCAGAGACTCACCCAATGCATTTTCATGGATATAACTTTTACGTGGTTGGATCTGGATATGGTAATTTCAACCCTCAGATTGACCCGGACAAATATAATCTTGTTGATCCACTTCATGTCAATACCATTGCAGTCCCTAAGAATGGTTGGGTTACTATAAGATTCATAGCCAATAATCCAGGTATGTTCAAATTTGATTCAATTTTTTTCTGTGCTTCCAATCTGTAAGGCCTTAATATTTTTTTTTTTAAATATCAATTTTCAGTCCTTTGGATCCCATTGTAAAACCAATGCAGCATGGTCCACAAGGATTGGCCCATATATCTGACCTAATAACAATAAACATGAAATTTTAGAAAAGATTTGTCTATGTTACAAAAAATAATAGCAATGCTAACATTTTTTTTTTTGGATAGGTGTGTGGTATTGGCACTGTCATTTTGATCGACATCTTACTTGGGGCATGGCCACTGTTTTTGTAGTGAAGAATGGTAACACTCCTGAGACAAGCATGCGCGATCCCCCTCCAAACTTGCCTCAATGTGAATCTCAATTCACAAATCAGCTCCAACAACTTGATATTTGGGAGAAATACGTCCCAAATCAAATACAATTTGATTGGAATTTCAATCAATATTATATATCTATCTATCTATCTATAAAGCAAATATCACAATTAGTTTGGATGTCACAAATTTTATTTTATTTTCAAAAATATCTACAAGACCAGTTATAATAACAGTTATGCCATTATTTACTTATAATTATGTTTGTTATGATTGAGTGTGGTATTGTTACGACTGGTAGTAGGTTTTGTTATGACACAATTGTGTATGTCACAACAATATTATGATTTCTAATTTGAGTGCGGTAACAATGTTATTACATCAGGGATGAGTATGCACAAGCCCCCTGCTAATTTGCCTCAATGCAAAGCTTCTTTCACTACTTGGCTTCAAGTACTTGATCATTCAGATAAATTTGTACCCAAATGACATATGATTTGAATGGAAGGTGGATGAAGATCAAAGTGCAAGCTTCTCATTCTAAGAAGCTGGGACACGGACACGCAACACAACATGGATACGAAACAGACACGACAACACGCCAATGTTCAAAAAATGCAGGACACGACACATGAAGGACACGCATAAAATATATAATTTTATATATTTATTATATGTTATATATATAAATATATCACTCAAAGATAATAAAAAAATGTAATACGACACTAAAACCCTATAAAGCACGAATATGGATACGGATACAGAAACCGGACACGCTGATTTTAAAAAAATAAGGATACAGATACAGCGGGAGACATGGAAATTTATATATATATATATATGTTATGCATTTGCTATGTAGATTAATTAAAATTATATAAAAACAATCAAAATTAATTTTTTTTTTTGATAAGTAATTAATTTTATTAGAAAAGCATCAAGGAGATGCAAAGAATACAATGAGCCTAGAACTCCTAACCAATAATTTTATCCAAAAAATCTATGAAAACAAATATATCCAGGTTGGCCCGTGACTCCAACCAAGTGCATAAAGTAAGCAACAAACGATTCTCAAGCCAAGACACCGAATGAGTAATCTCGAGAAACGTCCGTCAATTCCTCTCCAACCAAACCAGCCACATCAAACAAAAAGGCACGACGGACCAAATCCGCCAACATCGACGACCAACATGAGCACCTCGCCAACCCTATAACATCTCCAACACCCATTGGGCTGCACCCAAACAAAGAGCATACCAACCCCCATAAACGAGATGCAACACAATGAAGAAATAAATGATCCACCGACTCGGCATCCGTACAACACATACAACAACGATTCACTAAGACATGACCTCGACGAACCAAATTGTCAATAGTGAGATTCCGGCCCAAAGCAGCTGTCCACAAAAAGAACACTACCTTAGATGGAACACCCGGAACCCAAATGCTTCGCCAAGGGAACAACGTAGTCGCCTCCCTCACCAAACTCTGATAAAAGGATGACACAGTAAAGAGGCCTTTTGTACCCAACACTGCCCACACCACCCCATCCTCCCCTCCCCCAACGGGCCCCAAACCATATAAAAACCCCAACATCTCCTCCAATTGAGTAGCCTCCCAATCCTGAATTGGCCGCCGCAGGCGGACGTCCCAGACTACCACCTCCACATTCCCCAAATAGTTCGCCACAGTCACCTCTGGCTCCGCCGCAATGCCAAAAATCAAAGGGAATCGATCCTCCAACAACACCTCCCCATACCATTTATCCCTCCAAAACTGAACCCTCTCCCCATTTCCCACTCGGAAATGCACCCGTTCCCAAAACTCATCCCTCCCAAACCAAATCCCTTTCCACAATCCCCGCCCATGAATTCCTATAACTTTTTCCGTCCTCCAATCCCCGCTATCCACCCCAAACTTTGCAGCAATCAAAATTAATATTATGTTATCAAACAATCAAAATTAATAAAAACTAACATTAATTCAATGTATATATAAAAACCACTACATTTAAACATTATAAACATATTTTCTATAAATTATAAAAATTATATAAAGAAAAAATTAAATATATAATAAAAATACATTTACACTATATAAATTATATGATATAAAAATTAAACTAAACTATAAAATATCTAAATATCTAATCAGAAGATAAAAAAATATAAATAAAAAGAAAAAGAAGACGGAGAGGCAGAGAGAGGAAGACGAAACACATAGAGACGAGAGGCGATACAGACCGAAGAGAAGAGAGAGACGAGACAAAGACATACCAGATCGAGATGAGATGGAGATCAATTGGAATAGGAGCCTTGATGGAGATCGTGACTAGAACAGGAGCCTCAAGATCGCGACTGGAATAACAGATGGAGGTAGCAACTGGAACAACGATGGAGATAGAGATTGCAACCGATCAACTGAACATGTTAGGCCTTCTTCTCTTGCCATGTCCCCGACGTGTTCTAACCCAATACGTGTCACCGGTGTGTCCGGGTGTCCGACACCGCTACGGCACCTATTCCGTCATATCAATGCTTCATAGTTAATTCCTATAAATTTATATGATTTTTGTTTTATTATTATATCTTAAATTGTTTCGTTCAAATTTATAATTAGTTTCACCTATGTCTAATCTTTTGTTTAAGGGATAGATACTTGTGTCCTCCAAGTGTTCAAAGAGTATCCGAGTCTTTAAAAATATAAAAAAAATAAGACATGTTTTCAAGAGTGTCGGACACGTGTAGAGTGTCGGACACGTGTTAGGGAAGTGTCCAAAGAGTGTCAGTATCTAACACGGACATGACATGGATATGTTACCTTCTTAGAAGTGTCTATAATTCTTAGATCTCATTATTTCAATAATACAACAATTACAAGCACTAAATATATATATATATATATACAAACACCTAAACAATGATAAAATAATCTAATCTACCCTTAGACTTACAAAAAATATTACAATTCTCAAATCAACATGGTAGCCATGCCAAAAGAGTCCCTTAGACTTGACATAAATTGGAAGACTTCTAATTCAATTATTTTCATTTATATTTCTTTAATAATTTGGATTTTTGTATTTATATTTCCTAGTAAGTACAATGTTTTTTTAACTCCGCTAGGGTTGTTTAACAGCTCCGCTGGTCCCAAGCCAGGTAAAGGAGGAGGAGGATTGTGTGTTAGGTAGTCGACAACCAACACGTAAAAAAATCGCTCGGATCCCTTATGAAAATAAATCCTACTTTGAATCAACTAAATGCTAGGTCATTCCCCTCAAGTGACGTGTTGCACCTGCCTCTAGGCGTTTCGAAAAGTGAGCAAGGGGCGCCGTATCGATGCCTAGGTACCGTGAAAAATAGACAAAGGTTTCTGCGTTTTTCTAGACGAGAGCTAATCTAAGACTATAGGTTTAGGGGAGCCACTTGGAATATAGGAACTTTATCTAGTAAGACTATGGAATTGGTAGATGCCATGATTAGGAGGAGAGTTAGGCCAAGTTTGGGAAGAAAAGAAAAAGCCAAAAAGTCAAAAAGTTACTCAAAAAGTTCAAAAGTTAACACTATTCACCAAAAGTCAATAATTACGGCTGCACAACTTCCAATCTTAACTTTTTCCTACAAACCAATTTTTACAATTTTTTAATACACTTTTTTCCATAAAAAAGTCAAAAAGTTAACCCAAACATCCATATTTTTTTCCTCAATTTTTTAGTCCAAAAAGACAAAAAAGTATACTTATTTAGGACACCCCAAACAACCCCGTAGTATAGCTTGCGTACAAAAAACTAAGTGGACGGGTGAGAAAACTAGAGAAATAGAGGATACTGATTTTAAACTATATTATAGTGACAGGGATAAACACATTAAGCTATATTATAGTGGCAAGGATAGACACAGGAATGGGATAGGAATAATAGTTGTCAAGGGTCTTGTAGAAAACGTAGTTACGGTCATTAGGAAAGGTGATAGAATTAAGTTAGTTAAACTAGTTATTGAAAAGAATATAGTGAACGTTATTAGTGCATACCCCCCTCTCCAAAGTAGGATTAGATGATCAGACTAAGAGAGATTTTTGGGACCGAATGTATAAAGTATTACAGGAGATACCCATAAGAGAACCTAGTTATAGGTAGTGATTTCAATGGACATGTAGAAATAGATAAACTATGTTATAAGAGGGTGCATGGTAGGTATGGTTTTGGTGATAGAAATAAGGCTGGAGAGAGTATTTTAGATTTTGCGTTAACTCCTGACCTGGTGGTGGCCAATACTATATATAAGAAGAGAGAGGAGCATTTGATAACCTTTAAGGGTGGGTCAATTAGGAGCCAAAAAGATTACTTTCTAGTAAGAAAAATGGACCGTCTAAAATGCAGAGAGCCTAACGTCTCAACATGAGATTTTTGTACTAGATTTATGCTTTAAAGACCAATACTAAGCTAGGAAGGATAATGGGTATTGTAGGATAAGATGGTGCGACCTAAAAGGGGATAAACTATAAATATTTAGGAATATAATGGATAAATAAGGTACTTAGGACTTGGAAGATGATGCCAACACTATATGAAACTCGATGGCCAATTGTATGAGGAGAATCTCAAGGGAAGTTCTTGGAGAGTCGAAAGGAAAGGGACCCAACTCTAGGGAAACTTGGTGGTGGAGGGAGGAGGTTTAAGCGGTAGTAAAGACGAAAAAAGAGTGCTTTAAAAAGTGGCAGAATGATAGGACTGAGGAAAACCTTAAGAGCTATAGATTGGCTAATAAAAAGGTCAAAAAAGTAGTGAGAGAGACTAAGTTGAAAGCCTATGATGACTTATACACTAAATTAGATAGTAAGGCGAGAGAGAAGAGGGTATACAAACTTGCTAAGATAAAAGAGAAGAAAACAAGAGATTTTAATTAGATTAAGTGCATTAAGAGTGAGAACTGTAAGGTATTGGTGAAGGATGAAGAGATTAAAGAGAAGTGGGAGAACTATTTTGAGAAGTCGTTAAATGAGGAACATGGAGGTAGGTCAAAAGGAGAGGAAGTGGGCAATAATAAGGAAAACCAGGACTACAGATTCTATCGTAGGATTAGGAACTTTGAAGTGGAGATTGCACTTAAGAAGATGAAATCGAATCAAGTTTAGGATCCAATGATATCCCTATTGACTTTTGAAAATGTTTTGGTAAGAAGGGAGTTGCTTGGTTGACTAGGTTATTTAGCAAGATTTTGTTAACTAGGAAAATGCCAGAAAAGTGGAGGAAGAGTATTTTAATGCCAATCTATAAGAATAAAGAAGATGTTTAGAACTGTAACAATTATAGAGGAATCAAACTAATGTGTCGTATAATGAAAGTGTGAAAGAAAGTGATGAAACATCGATTGCGAGATATAACAGATGTGTCAGAGAATCAATTTGAGTTTATACCTGGTAGGTCAACAATGGAAGCGATTTATCTTTTGAGGATAGTAATAAAAAAGTATAGAGAAAAGAAAATTGACATTCATATGGTTTTTATCGATCTTAAGAAAGCATATGATAAAGTGTCTCAAGATATAATCCAGTGGGTGTTAAAGAAGAAATGAGTGACAAAAGGTTACATTAATGTGATTAGGGATATGAATAAAGATGTTGTGACCACTATTAGATCGTTTGCTGAAGAAACAAGTGAATTTTCAATTAGTTTAGGGTTACACCAACGATCAACCTCAAGTCCTTATCTTTTTCCTTTAGCTATAGATGAGTTGATGAGAAATATTTAAGATGATATGCCATGGTGTATGCTTTTTGCATGTGATATCGTGTTAGTGGATGAGACTAGAGAGGGAATTAACACTAAGTTGGAGACTTGAAAAGCACTTGAATCTAAAGGATTTAGGATAAGCAAAACTAAGACAGAGCACATAGGCCCAGTTTGTTTTCAGAGATAGAATGGAGGGAATTCATAGTGAGGGGATTAATAGTGAGGGGATTGTTAGTGAGGGGATTGATAGTGAGGGGATTAATAGTGAGGAATTGTTAAATTATTTTTATATAAAATAACAAAACAAATAAAAAAAATATAAAAAACTAAACACTAATATTTATAAAAAAAAAAAAATCCCAATATATAAAAAATTAAAAAAATTTCTAATCCCCTCACTATTTTTCTAATACCATCTCTACCTCCTCCTTACCAATCCCCCTTCCAAGGCCTTTACTAATACTAAAGGATTAGTAGTCCCCTCTCCATCTCTCAAAACAAACACCCCATATAGTAGTCTCACCTCACTATTAATCTCAATCCCCTCCCTATAACTCCAAACAAACGGGGCCATAGAGTGTAATTTTAATAATAGTAAAAATGGAAGCAGAGAAGAAGTATAGATTAAAAACCAAGAACTATCTAAGGGTAAACATTTTCGTTATTTATGATCGATTATTACAATGTCTAGGGAGATTGGAACGACTGTGGTCCATAAAATTAAGGCAGGGTGGCTCAAGTGTAGAAGTGCATCCGGGGTACTGTGCGATAAACGAGTACTCACTAGAGTAAAAAGAAAAGTTCTATAGAACGACTATTAAACCAGCAATTTTGTATGGGACGGAATGTTGGACAACTACAAAACAACATGTAAATAAGATAAGTGTTGCTGAGATGAGGATGCTAAGGTCGATGTGTAGCAATATTAGAAAAAACAGAATTAGGAATGAGTATATTCGAGAATGGGTAGGAGTAGTACCGATAGAAGATAAGTTGAAAGAGAATAAATTGAGATGGTTTGGTCATGTACAACAGAGACCAATAAAAGCAGTAGTAAAGAGATACGATACAATGACTGTTGGCACATAAATTTCAATCAAATTTATGTTAAAATTTCAAATACAGTCAATCAGTCAATAACACATATAGAGCCTATAATAAGAATGTTGTAGGTAATCACTTCCTAAAAAGATCAATATGATCCGTTGAAGTGCATAAATAAAACGTCATCATATCTCAAGACGTTATTCAAAATACTCAAATGACACGTGAAGCCTACGAAAGATGACACATGCAAAGCCTACAGAAAGGACACCATACAAGATGAAACCCCAAAGATTAATCCGGTTAATCAGATATATATAGCAACATCATTCAAAATTCAAATGGCGCTATCATTCAATTTGAAATTCAAATTAAGGATGAGGCACTCTTATCACCTGGATGGCACTCTATAAATATGAGGACCATCACACGAGAGGGGAGAAAATCAAAAGTGAGAAGATCAAAGAGAGAGAGAAAGAAATCAAGAACTAAAGAAGTCGTTACAAGAAAGAAGAAAAGAAACCGAGAGAACTTACGCTACAAACATACAATGTCAATGAATAGGTAAAGGGTTCCAAGCCTAATAATTGTACTTTGTATTCAAGGGTTGAAAACCCATAACAATTTCAATAAAATATTTATTTTTCTTAAATTGTCTTCTGTTATTTATTTTGTTCTTCATTAATCGGAGGTTTCATTTAAATAAAATGTATAATTAACAATCTGGAATATAGATCAGAAATAGGAACCTGCTATTCAAATAATCAACACTGTTTAGTTAAAAAACTAAACAGTAGACATTTGTAACATAAAATTTTGAAATGTGTTGAAACATATCAACACTGTTTAGTCAAAAAATTAAACAGTGGATATTTGTAACATAAAAATTTTGAAATGTGTTGAAACACTTCACGTTTCAAAATTTGTATCTACAATGACGGTAGATGAAAGTGTTAGGAGCAGGGACAGACTTAGATTGATATGGGCTAGTGTAGTAAATTGAGATATGAAACGAAATGGCCTTGGATAGAATCGAGAGGAGAAGAAGGATTCATGTAGCCAACCCATATGATGGAACTTAAGGCTTGGCTTGGTATGATTTGGTTTGGTTTGGTTTAGTAAGTAAATTGTTTCTTGTGTTGTCACAAAGTTGGAAGATGTGGGAGAAATTAAAGATTTAGTAGAATGATATAATAATTCTATGTGACATGTATAAGCCTATAAAGGCCATGAATCACCTATGGCCCATCACTTGAAGCCCAGTGCATAACCCAGCTGACGAGGTCCAGAACAGCTGGAGTCCAACATGGCATAAAGAGCCAATGACATTCAGACACACGGCAAGAGAAGGACGAACCACATCAGCAGACAAAGATCTGCAAAGTTATTACCACTGCACATCACCATTAATGCAGCCCATCACAGCATTTATTACCCAACACCTCTCCGCCGGAACAGGACTCCCTTACCCTGAGCAAGGTAAGCTACAGCATAGGCTTTCGGCAAGGAGAGCAGGTCGGAAGGGACAGCGAAATGATTACCAAAGGATATAAGCGAACGTTGTAGATAAGAAAAAGGTTAAGCTTTTCTATCCCTAACCTCTCCCTCTACACATTACTTCTCTTCCTAACTTGCTCGTCGGAGAATTCACTAGGGGACTACCCCGTTCCCCATTGAACTTGCCTGCAGGTTATCCGGTGGGCTTGATCATTTGGATGCAGGCTTGAGGAGCTTGGACCTGCCCGATCCATTCACTGGGACGAACAGCATTAACACTATGTATTTTATTGAAGAAGATAAAACCGCTGACTATTGTCAAGAAATTTGATTGAATTACAAAGCGATGCTCTTTTCCTTCCACTTAGCTTGGTGTTTATCTCATATCTTTATCTCATAATAAATATTGGACACGTGATCTTTTTACCCCAAAATTTCATTGTGCACTTGTTTTAAAGCACTTACAATCATTGGTTGATACAATTCTCACGGCCCGAAATTCTCGTATGAACCAACCAGTGTGAGTATATTGGTACAGGGGAGAGGGGAAGGTATGGCGAAGACTAATACAAAATTTCATGTTTAAACACCAATACCAAATTGATACTTCTCAGTGCATAAAAAAGTTGATCTTTAAGCCTAAGTTGTTTTTGCATAAAAAATATACAACTAAAAAAGATGTTTCGAAATATATTTCCAGACTATTTTTCCAGCAATGTTTCAAACAAAATTGATCTTTAAGCCTAAGTATCATGTTATATCATGTGGGTTTGAAGAACACTCGGCCTTTCGGAATTGTTTCCAACAAACAAGTAATCATAAAGCATTGATCAAATCAATAATGCTGCAATTAATAAATCAATAAATATGAATTTTCAATAGGTTCACCCGCAACCTCTACCATCAACAACCCAAACAACAAATATAATATATCCAGATTTTCAGTAGGCTCACCCTCAACCCCTAACACCACTATGGGTTTTCAATAGGCTCACCTTTAACCTCGTCCGCGAGCGTGATTGTGAGCATAAATATACATATCAATGTGTAAGAAATATACCTGTTCAACGGCTCGTGAATCATGCAACAACTCCTCTTCAATACCCACAGAATCCTGAATTCTCGATGCCCGCTAGATGCATCCGGCACCTAGGATATGTCACTAGTCACCAAAAATCGTTCACTTTATTCAGTTACCCTTGGTTAAGCATATCGAGGCCTCAATAACTGTCATTTTTATGTAAACGAAGAAAATAGAGATTGGAAAATGTTTACTATTTCCTTTTTTTACCTGGTGCTTTAATTTATTTTATTTATTCAACCCATTAGAATACTTGATTCCATGAGATACAGAAAGAAAATCATGTTTAGATAAACGAATTAAACAAAACAAAACAAAACAAAAAAAATTGAAAGCTAAAAGTAGAACAACAATATACCTGAGAAATAGAGAAGAAACTGTAAACATCTCAGTGGCCCGCGATGTGAGAGATTGAGACGCCGGAGAGAGAGAGAGAGAGAGAGAGAGAGAGAGAAGAAGTTCACGCCACCGGAGAGAGCTGGTTCACGCCACCAGAGAGCTGGTTCATGCCACCGAAAATCACCGCCTGAAATCGCCTCTCAAGCTTTCTGTCTCTCTGAAGAAGTGCACAGTGTTTGGTTGTAGGTTTATATCTTGGTTTTTTGGTAATAATTGAAGTTGATAAGGGGCATTTAAGTAATTTCACCCCTCCCTTCCCAGCTTGCCGCTTAAGCTGAATAATTAAGCACCCCTATAGCCACTTCAACAAAAAGCTGATTTTTCACTTACAAAAAGCTATAATCTATATTAGTAAGCTACACCAAACACAATAAAACAACTTAAATTAAGCTAAAAGCTGAAATAAGCTGTAAAAAAACTCTACCAAACAAGCCCAAAGAACCAAATAGAGAGACTATCAATGTAATCTACCCTAATTTGAAGAACCTTCAATATATTAAAAAGCTTTATCATGTTCAAGCTTCATTAAGAGTTAGGGTGTACACGAATTAAATTGGTTCGATTTTAGAGAAAACCAGGAACCAAATCATAGGAACTGGTTCCAGAAAAATTAAAACCATAGCCGAACCATTAAATTGTGAAACAAGACTAGAACCGAACCATAGAAACCAGTTTGGTTCGGTGCGATTTTACGGTTTTAGAAATTTTACATAATAATAAATATAATATATATTTTATGTTAGTAAACAATTAATGATAATTAATTTGGTTAAGTTGGTTAGAATTTATCAATTTCACAATAAAGGGCTAGTGTTCAAATCTTATAAAAAAAAAAAAAAAAACTTTTTATACTTTAATTTTTACATATAAAAATATAAAAAAAAAAAAAAAATACACCACAATA